AGAATCTAAAGTTTTCCGGTGTGGCGGCCCGGATCAAACTTCGGAAAAAATAATGTTTTAAAAATTAAAACATTCAAGATATGTTGAAAATTTTGAACCCAGTAGGAAAGTTGAGTTTTGTAGCAAACCGGCTTTAAAAAGGTATTCGATATTGAATAGTTTGAGATTAAGGAATTTTCGTAACTAGTTTACTTAAAATCTTTATCTATATCTGTCGTAGTCTTGGCTCCATCATAAAATAATGTTTTTCTCGAAACAATACGCCTTATTGCGAAATAACGCTGTCTTGAGAAATGATGTAGGTTCCTTGTATTAGGTTGGATGCAGAGGTGCACGGACAGCACACTCGTACACATTCGGACAGTTGTCAATTTCGGACATGTCCCGTTGTCCGAAAGTTGTCTAGAGAGGCCACGTCCGTGATACCTTTCAAAAGAAGTGAGATATATAGGCTCAAAGTGGACGTTCCGGGTGTCGTTCTATTAGAGGTTTTACGGTAATTGTGTTTGAAAAAAACTTCCTTCTCTCCATAATTATGATATTTTTCTCTTGGTTTTGAGCTCATATATCTCGGTTCCTATCAAATATAACAATTAACGGTCAATTGAAAAAATGTTTGTCATAATGTTATAAACGCTTTATTAGTTGGCAAATTCTTAATATCTTTCATAGGAACCGAGATAATTGAGCTCGAAAAAACTCACCTCTCTCCAAAATCATCTTTTTGGTTGTTTGGTTTTGAGCTGATATATCTCGGTTTCTATTCAATATATCAATTAACTGTCAACTGATAAAATGTTTGTCATAATGTCATAAACATTTTATCAGTTGACAAATTCTTGATATTTCTTTTAGGAACCGAGATAATTCAGCTCCAAGTGACGGTTTGGGTAAACACAAATAAAAGAAAATAATGTATTTGAGGTGAAGTCCAGAAAAATCGATAGATCAAAATTTTGAAGACTAATGGAGTTGAGAAATAAAAAACCAGTTCATTAAAAAAAATGCAATTTTAGCAGAATTTAATCTAATTCTAGATAATCTAAAAAATTAAAAATTTTCGATTTTGAATAAATTCTACCAATAGATATTAGGTTGCTAATAATAAACTCCAATTTTTGAGCTCAGTCCAGACTTTCTGGTTCTTGAATTTCAATTTAAAATAATCAGAAGTACAGCATCAATTGTGAAAATGTCTGATTTCATGTTTGAAAAAACTTCAAAAAATTATTTCAGGTCTTTTTTTTTAACGAATTCAACACGTCTTACGAATTGTTTAAAAATTTAAGATGTTTTTAGATTCTTAAATTGGACCCCAATTCCTTTAAAATCGGAAATGGATTTTTGTAAGATTTTGGAACAAAAAAATCGAGAAAAAATATTTTTGTTAGTTCAAAAATGTTTTATCTCTAGAACAACAGCTTTGAAAATCACCTTGAGTTGGTAGCCCCATCAGTCCATCTTTATTAATGAGATGACGTGACTGCCAACAATCTCAGTAATCCTCACAAAATCCATCACCAGCAACAGGTGGTGGACACCCAACAGAAAAAGAAGGTTGCGAAGTCAATATTCGTGTTTCACTCTCATAGTGCTGTTTATGGTGTTGGCCCCGTTATCGCCTCGATATATTCCATCAAATTGAGGGGCTAGTGCGCGATCGGAGGCCGGTCAGCCGCCGTTGCGGGTTGCTGCACACACCTATTTGAACAAGCACACACACACATATACACAAAAACCTTCCGCTGTGTTCGTTCCATAGCCCCCCTCCCGGCCCGAGCAGAGCAATTTCCTCTTCTGCGCACTATTCGTGGTGGGGCCTTCTCTTTCTGTTGATGCGGTCACCTCCTCTTTCCTAACAGCAGATCGGCTACAAACGGTTGGCCCTCCCAAACAGTCGCGTACTCTCATCGTTCCTCTCACCTCCTACGTCTCCTGGCATCTGTTGTGTCTCGTGTCACCTCTTTTTCCTCAACATTCCCAAACAAGGAATCCCTCTAGTTTCCGTGGCCCACCAGGTTGGGCTCGTCTGTTCAGAGTCGATTATTTTCATGTTTGCCTATATTTTAACCCACTTCTATGTTAGTTCTTTTTCTTTTTCTCACTTTTTTTTCTTCGGCTCGCTTTCTTGTGTAATTGAGACACTATTTGACACGATTGCTTTCTTTCTTACTATTTTTTCGACACAGCTTTGCTAGAAAAGTGCCGGTTACAGTACCCATTTTGAACAGTTCAGTATTAATGTTGACAGTTGGTAATCCGATAAACCATTTACAAAATTTTCAATCGCATTATGGAAATAATACAAAATCGCCGTTGATACAGTTATGTTTTGTTTGTCAGCGTCAAAATATTTTTTGTTGAAAACATGATAACGTCATGTTGATTCGGAATTTTTGGAATTTTCGAAATTTTTGACTCTAAAAGTTCTTGAAATCCAAATTTCGTGAATAAAATAGTCGATTTGCTCTAAGACCTTCAGATGACATTTCTGAGAAATTCTTCACAATTTTACTTTTTTTGAAATTCTTATGATTACCGTTCAGCCAATAATTTGTAATAAATTCACTCATAATTGGTTTTTTTGGGGTTTCGAAATGATTGTTGAGTGAATAAGAACAATTTTCGAATTTTCAGATCAATTCACCTATTCAAACATTTTGTATTCCACTAAGGTAAAGTACAGTACCAGTCAATAAGAATCACAACAACGTACTTTTTTTAGTTAATTTTCCACCATTTTGATAGTTTTAAGAAATCTGGAGCTCGGCCGTCAGGTTTCTGATCGTTTCGAACACATTGAAAAGCGTAAAGCAGACCTATATTCTGAACTATGGCCCGCCCGTTTTGGTGCTAAAAATATGAAAAAAGTGTTTTCCGAAAATCGGCGTATAGCTGAAAAATTAGGAAGTTTGAAGAAATTCTTTAAATGCAAAGTTTTCCATCTAGGGCTAATTTACACGCTCCAAGATTTTCAAAGTGATCGGAAACTGTTCAGCCAAGCTCCAGACTTTTGAAAACAGTCGAAATGACCAAAATTTAACTGAAAACTACGTTTTTGTATA